CACCGAAACTCCTCGGCTCCCTTTATTAAAATTGCCCTGCAGCGGTCAGATTTTTAACGATGTGCAAATCTCTCTAATGGACATTTCCTTCGTGTTTCCCACTGTGGGGAGGTGAACCCTACGCCAGCCCGATGCTCTAGCAAGAACCCTCCCCCACCCCCCTCCCCGCCAACCCCCACCTTCGTGGAGCTCAGACAAAAGAATTCTCTGATCCTTCGGGAGTATGCAGACCAACTTGCTGTAACTACTTACACTAAGCAAATGCCTGAAGCTTACCGAGCAAACTTATTTTTCCATGAAAGAAAAAAATTAAGTATCTGCTACCTTCTGAATTTCTACTTAGCCCAGACTACAAAGACTGGGTGTTTAAAGAACTTTTGTAGAAATAGCCTAATAAATTGACATAATTAAGGTAATTATTTTCTGCACTTTTTATTCATGTGTTATTTGTACACACCTGTTTTGTCCAAAAATAGCTTGAGGCAACCCACAATAAAAAGTGTCAACAATGTGCAAAACGGCCAAGAGCCCAAACCAGTTAATTCTCAATTTAAAAATCTTGGTGTTACAAAGGCCTTCAAAGAGCAGCTTAAAATCCTTCTAATTCATATTAAATTATGCATAATAAAATGGATCAACACCCTTCTTTTTAGCAACATATATATTAAGTAATGTAGGACTGAAATAAAGGTCCACTTTAGGACAGAACACTTTATAATTTTCATTTTTTTAAAATGCATTAATAGAGAAAGAATATTTCTGAGCCTTTTAGCTCATGGTAGAGCTATCTAAGAGTTTGGTTTATGATAGTTAGAGAACATATCTGATTCACCAGATAAATAGCTGTGGGTCCAGTAATTTTTTAAATCCCTATCTGCGGATAAGTTTTTAAATTGATTTTTAGAGCAAGAGGAAGGGGGAGAGAGAACGAAACATCGATGGGTTGCCTCCCATACACACCCAAAGGGATCGAACCTTTTATTGTATGGGATGACCCTCCAACCAACTTAGTAAGTTTTTCACAGTCCATGTTTAATCTTTTTCTAAATATTTTCACACTTGACCCTTTACTCCCTGACCCAGACATTGACACTTTACAGTTTGCAGGCATTTTTACTTGCTTTTTAACTTTGAAGTCTTCAGACTGGTGATTCCAGACTAATTTTTCTAATGGTCTGAATCTCTTTATGAATAGATGAATACAATAGATTAGGCTGCAAACTAATATTCAACGAAGATGGACAGGTAACAGATGGATGAATTGTGGTTTCCTTGATACTTCCCTTGTCAAGGCTAATTATTTGTCCTAATTATTATGTTCTGCTTTAAGTTACTGGTGGATGAAGTAAATGAAAATGTTTTTAGACAAGTCCGTGTAGATTTCACATGACGTGAATTTCTTAGCTAAGATCCAGATTCAGCCTACACATAATCGTTATAGCTGTGGTGGATTAACCCAACGGAAGAGATTAGTTTGACTGTGGGAGAACATATAGAGCTGCAGTCCATTTGAGAACATGGCCTGATTCTTTGTCCTTTAGCCTGCCTCATATGTTGTATTTGTACAAGCATCTATAATAATAAAAGCGTAATATGCTAATTAGACCCGACGTCCTTCCTTCTGGACAAAGCCACCTCGGGTGGGGGCCAAGGCCCTTGCACGCATTTCATGCATCAGGCCTCTAGTTAAGTATAAAATAATAAAATTAACTTTTATGGGTGGTTTATAGGATGATTCTCAATGTTATAGTCATACACTATAAGTATGATCATATTTACACAAATTATTCATCCAGGTTTTGATCTCTTCCCTTATTCTCTATATTAGTATTCAAGGAGATCATACTGAGGAATCTGGTTTTTAATCTGATAGGTTATTAGAAGAATAGAACTTCAGAGAACATCAAATGCAGAGGTGATTAATGTAAATTTATTATCTTCCACAGGCTTAGACCTCATATCATTCCTTCCAGATAATGGATACTTAATGAAACTCACTCACAAGAGAGTTCAGAGTTGTGGTTCCAAGATACTACTTTCTCCCCTTCCATGGCATAACTAAAATTTACTTTTTTTCCGAAATCAGACTAAAAATTTTCCACTGTTCATTTCATGCTAGGAGTGCTTTTGTTTTAATTTCAAGTAATTTTATTTTAAAATATGAGCGTAGAAGCCTAGTTATAAGACTAAACAATTGGAACTTTATGAGTCAGCACTAGTGGTCATGTATTTTGTGAATTTTGTGGGGAAGGGAAGGGGGGCCCGGCCAGCAGTGTCTGCAGGAACATTTGTGTGAGGGCCCACAAGGCCCATCCCTTCTCTCATGTGGATACCGTGTGATGGACTTCATCCTCCTGAGTGAACCTTTACCACAGATATCAGAACTATTGCTGGAAGCATTTCCCACCACCAATGGTGAGCTTCCAGAAGGCAGGAACTATGTGGTTATCCTCTTGGCATCCTGGGCGGCAAGCAAGCATCTGACCCTGAGCAGGTCAGGTGCACAATGAACATTTGAATGAAAGAGTAAATGGATGTAAGCAAAATAATCACATTCATTGGTACCTTTCTGGTAGTTTAAAAACTGTTTAAGGAAAATTTCAGGGACCTCTTATTCATCATTTTCTTCTTGTTAACTAACGATCTGGTTCATGGATGTGTGTTTTTGTTGGGTACTTGCTAAGAAAGAAATGCATATCACAGGGCTCCAGCTAACCAGACCTCCCCACCATCTTCTACCTGAGGGATGAATAACCTATTTTGCGGAAGGTCAATTTAGGAAGTGAAAAAAACTTGGCTGGGGAGGGGGTAGTAGATTTGTGATTCTTTTCTTTATTTTTTATTGATTTTTTACAGAGAGGAAGGGAGAGGGATAGAGAGTTAGAAACATCGATAAGAGAGAAACATCGATCAGCTGCCTCCTGCACATGTCCTACTGGGGATGTGCCGCAACCAAGGTACATGCCCCTGACCGGAATCGAACCTGGGACCTTTCAGTCCGCAGACCGACACTCTATCCACTGAGCCAAACCGGTGCTGGCTGTGATTCTTTATTATTTGCTTTTTGTATTTAAAAATCCTCATGACAATTTTCCCAACTTAAACTACCTATTTACTATATTGAATAATAGAATGTCAAAAAGAAACATAATACTGCCTTTTAGGCACTGAGAACTTAATATGGGCAGGTTTGAACAGTAAATATTGGTGGATTCTTTTCTTCATGCCTTGTATTTATATAGCACTCGAGTCCAACAATGAGTCACTTGTGTTATCTGATTTCAGCCACCAGTTTAAGAGGCAGATAATCTTATCACATCCCTTTACAGATGGGTATATGGACGCTTGGATGAGCTGGGTCTAAGAAACCTAGAGTAAGATTCATTGTGTCCCCTGAGTGCCTGCTTGTGCCAGGGAGCTAGGTGAGTGAGGTGGGCTGCTCCCCATGGCATCCTCCATCTCCTGTGGATATAGAATCTCCTCCTGCTTGGGCAGGGCACAACAGACCACCCCAAATGGACAACCCTCCAGGCCAGATGGCACTATGCCCCATAGGACTGTACCCTTCAGCCTCAATCATTAAGGCTGCCTAGCCCTGTCTAAGCTCACATGCATGAGGAATGTTTTGTAATTTTTTTGTCTGTGTATAGGTCTTGCCATATACCATGCATACACTACCTAACTGTAGACACATGATCATGTGAATGCTTAGGACTTTTTTCCTTTTGTGTTTACCCCTTCCCCTTCTCCCTCCTTTCACATCAGATGTCACCTCCTCAACCCATAATGTGTCTCCTTCCTTACTTTTCTTTAATAATAATGAGATCATACATACTTTTCTGAAACTTTCTTTTTTTCCAAAGAAACTGAACAATTCCTCCAGAAACCCCTCTAGGTCATCTGGCAGAGCTCCAATCCATCCTTTATAATGAATGCATAATACTCCCTGAAGTGACCAGATAGTCTTTACCTGGCCATTCTCCTACTGATAGGTATTCCCTTGTTTCCAGCTTTTTGCTGTACTAAATAATACTGTACTGAAAAATATCCTCATACATACAGCTTTACCTATCAGTCCTTCTAGTTCTGCAGAAGATTCCCACAGGTGGAATCCTGATTACATCTATTTTTAATTAGTAGAAATTACCAGATTGCTCTCCTAGAAGCCTTCACGCCTCCACTAGGAAGGCAGGAGCATTCCCTTTCCTCTGCCTCCCTCCTATTCTTGTTACTGTGATATTGTTCCTTTCCTAGCACTTCCTGAACGTAAGTGATGTGGTGCATCTTTTCACAAGTGTCCTGGCCATTTGATTTTGTCCTAAGTCCTTTGCCTCCTCATATTTCTTGCCCATTTATTTTTATTTTTTTTTATTGATTTTTTTACAGAGAGGAAGGGAGAGGGATAGAGAGTTAGAAACATCGATGAGAGAGAAACATCGATCAGCCGCCTCCTGCACACTCCCCACTGGGGATGTGCCCGCAACCAAGGTACATTCCCTTGACCGGAATCGAACCCGGGACCCTTGAGTCCACAGGCCGACGCTCTATCCACTGAGCCAAACCGGCCAGGGCTTGCCCATTTTTTATTGGGTCATTTGTGTCTTGCTTTTTTTAAAAAAATATTTTTTTATTGATTTTAGAGAGGAAGGGAGAGGGATAGATAGAAACATCAATGATGAGAGAGAATCATTGATCCGCTGCCTCCTGCACGCCCCCTACTGGGGATCTAGCCCGCAACCCAGGCATGTGCCCTTGGTCAGAATCGAACCTGAGACCCTTCAGTCCCCAGGCTGATGCTCTATCCACTGAGCCAAACCGGCTAGGGCTGTGTCTTGCTGTTAAGTTTGTATGAGTTCTATATATATTAGAGTGTGGCTGAAGATGGTTGACTGGGAGGCTGCTCTCCCACTGCACTTACAGGGGCGGCTGAAATGAGCTCAGGAGTTATTTAGTGGAGCTAGGCAGGCTGTTATGACCTTCAGCCACAGGTTGCTGGTCACTCTTCAACTACTGAGTGTGAACAGGAGATTGCATTGAGCCAGAATGTAGCTGTGTGCGGAGGACTGAGAAGGTGGGGCAGTTCTGTACCATGCTGCCTTCCACTGGTTAAGACCTCCAAGAGCAAAGGCCTACCAAGGTAGAAGATGTCCCTCTGTCACCTGTAGAGGGGCAGCACTGAGCTGGCCGACATTTGTGGTGCTGCTTGTCCCTGGCTCAGGTGAGGCGTTCCACTAAGTCTAAAGGATTAAGACATCAAAAACAGTGCTTTTTATCCTTGTTTCCACCTTAACTCTTTTTTAAAAATATATTTTTATTTACTTCAGAGAGGAAGCGAGAGGGAGAGAGAGCTAGAAACATCAATGATGAGAGAGAATCATTGATCGGCTGCCTCCTGCACACCCCCCACTGGGGATCAAGCCCACAACTGGGCGTGTGCCCTGATCGGGAATCGAACCAGGGACCCTTCCGTCCACAGGCCAACGCTCTATCCATTGAGCCAAACCGGCGAGGGCTCCACCATAACTCTTAACAAAAATAAAAATAATTTAAAAAATCCTCACCTGAGGATATGTTTATTGATTTTAGAGAAAGGAAGAGAGAGAAACATCGATCAGTTGCCTTCGATATGTGCCCTGACCAGGGATCAAACCCACAACCTAGGTATGTGCCCTGACTGGAATTGAACCCAGAACCTTTTGGTGCACAAGACTACGCTCCAACCAACCGAGTCACCAGCCAGGGCTCCACCTTAACCCCTGTAACAGATGGCATTCATGTCGGTGGCACTCCTCTAGGCATCCCAGATTTTGAAGAAACCCAGAGACATGTTGCAGGGAGGTAAAGCATGACAGTAATTGGTCACCCTGGCACTTTTAGGTGTACATCAGAATGATTACTCTCAGACTTTGGCACAGGTAAGAGAATCTGCAGGTTATGTGCAATTTTCAACCCCCAGCTCAAGAAAGCATATCAGAATACAAAGTGATAGTCTTGATATTATAGGAAAACTTTAAATCTCTTTTCATATGTAAAATAAAATAGGGGTCCATTATACCATTAAGTCCACTTTTGTGTATGTCCAATAATTTTTAGAAAGGAGCTGTGGAAAGATAAGATTCAAATGTAGGAGGAAACAGAATTGTAAAAAAAGGAAAAAGAAGTGTAGAAAAAAATTTAAGGTAAAGATGGATCTCTTGGGAGAAATCTAGCCTTTAATTTCTAAAAAGCTTTTATACTAATTGGTCATCATGAGTAACCATATTCAAATCAATTTCTAATGTATCAGGAAATATGCAACTGGCTATTTCTTTTGTTAAAGAGGCCTGATACTTATCTTTCTTTTTTTTTCTAATTCTTGTAAATGCACTATCTCTTTTCAAAATGTGAGAGATATATTAAACGTCATGCCTGATCCTAAGTGGGCTTGCTTGATGGGAAAAGGAATAATGAGGTTTAGAAAGTGGTAATTCATCTGTAACAAGACTATTAGCAATTGAATTAAAATTTGAAAGTAAATTATATTAATATAGCAGCTTATTTTTCCTATTCTCATCTCTGTCTTTAGTCATTCCTAGTTGCATTTAATAAGAGAGATTCTGACACTATCACCTCACTGCTGCTGGTTCAAAACCTGACAGTATGAGCAGGCATTAGCTATCTCACTGTGCATCATTCTCCCACCTTGGCCTTGATTTCCCCCCTGAAATAAGTTCTCAGATGAGTTCCAAGAGCCGGTTGTGTGTTCTCTTATTATCTTTAAACTTTCAAAGCAAGTCGGTCTGGAATCACACATTTGGTCCTTTGTGAGGTTATTTCCTAAAGAATAAACTTCACCTTTTCTATCCCCCCTTCTGTGATGGGTTATTGCAGTGGTAAACTGTTTTCCTAATAGAAAAAAGACTTTGCAATGATAGTTACTGTGTTGTGTTTGGATTCCTTTAACAGATATTTTCTTAGACAAAGCAAGAAGCTATCATTGTTCTTTATTTTTCTTCCTTAATTAAAAGTATTCACCAAGCCATGTATCTTGCAACTATACAAAGGAGACCAATTAGTTGGAATGAACAATATAGAAAATTAATTTTGTTTTATAACTCAAGCACCTGTTAGAGGATCTGAAAAAATGAACACCAGAAGGACATGGTGTTAACCAGTATTTCTAGTATCCATCTGTTAGGCTGTTTAACTGAATTTCTTTCTGACAGCTGCCTGTCCTCTGACTCTACTCCTAGCACTGCTGATGGTCCTTCAGAACTCAGGGCTAATGCTGCAGTGTTTCCATCTGAGGACGTGGGATGGCCCGAAACCCTGAGGCAATGACAGAGACCTCAGTGCCCTCAGTACATGGCAGACCATCTAATTTAAAGGTTTAGAAAGCTGCTTTCTATACTGCTATCTCCAAAATGTGTGAATTTTAAAAACATTTTAATAGGCTTTTAGTACTGTCGATTCTCTCATAAACGTTTTTAAAATCACAAAATGATACACCAGACACTAATACAAAATAATATCGAATGTAAGCTGTAATTAAAAAATAAAATTTAAAGTTCTTTTTGAAAAATCACAAACCAAAGATACTTTTATCTTGAAAAAAGTACCCTATTGAAATCTTTTTAAGAGGCTGTTCACTACTGACACTTTCACCCCTAAAGTTTAAAAAAGTAACTTTTCACTCCTAAAGCTTTATTTTCTGCTTATTTCTAAAGTTTACTCTGCAACACTGAGAGAAGCATACAAAAGAGAACCTGGATCTCATTCTGAAGAAGATAATAACCTTTTTGTAGGAGACCAGAGAAGACTAGTATATACAGTGCACTTCCAGCCAAGACGGCAGAATAGGTCAATGCTGTGCTTGACCCCTCTCATGACTACAGAAGAATTTCAATTAAATTATACAACAACCATCACTAAGAACCATCTGGAGACTAGCCGAACAGAAGTCCTACCACTAAAGATATAAAGAAGAACCCACAATGAGACTGGTAGGCGGGGCAGAGACATGGAAGGGCAGGTCCCACACAAATGGTGTGGCAATTAAGAATCTGGAAAAATATCTCAGCTGCAGAGGTCTCGTCTGAGGAACAAGGGGTTCCAGCCACACAGTGGGCTCCCCAGCCAGAGGCACAGTCCCAGGAAGAGGAGACCCCACAAATTCAGTACAGTAGCAGGATACAAAATGAATATTCAGAATTTGATTGCATTTTATATGTCAACTAGAGGCCCGGTGCACGCATTCGTGCACCGGTGGGGTCCCTTGGCCTGGCCTGCGCCCTTTCACAATCCGGGACCCCTCCGGGGATGTTGGATAGCCAGTTTTGGCCCGATCCCCACAGGCCCAATCCAGACAGGAGGGAGCCCGATCCCCGCAGGCCCGATCCTGTGTGTCTGTCTCCTGGTGGTTAGTGTGCATCATAGCGACCGGTCGTTCGGTCGCTTAGGCTTTTATATATATAGATAATGAACTATCAGAGAAATTAAGGAAACAATCCCATTCACAATTACATAAAAAAAATAAAATACCTAGGAATAAATTTAATCAAGGAGGCAAAAGACCTATACTTGGGAAATTATAAAACATTGAAGAAAGAAACTGAAGAAGATACAAAGAAATGGAAGAATATACAGTGCTCATGGATTAACACCATTAAAATGTCCATACTAGCCCTAGCAGACTTGGCTCAGTGGATAGAGCATCAGCCTGCGGACTGAAGGGTCCCAGGTTCGATTCCAGCCAAGGGCACATGCCTGGGTTGTGGGCTCGATCCCCAATAGGGGACGTGCAGGAGGCAGCCGATCAATGATTCTCTCTCATCATTGATGTTTCCATCTCTCTCCTTCTCCCTTCCTCTCTGAAATCAATAAAGAAACATATAAAATAAAATAAAATGCCCGTACTACCCAAAGCAGTCTACAGATTCAATATCTATCAAAATACTAATGGCATTTTTTATAGAATTAGAACAAATAATACTAAAATTTACATGGAACCACAAGAGACCCCAAATAGCCAAAGCAATCTTGACAAAAATGAACAAAGTTGGAGGTATCACAGGACCAGATATCAAACTATACTATAAGGCTATAATAAAACAGCATGGTGCAGGGATAAAAACAGACACATGGGTAAATGGAACAGAATTGAGAGCCCAAAAAGAAACCCATGCCTATATGTTCAATTAATATATGCCAAATGAGGCAAGAATATACAGTGGGGTAAAGATAAGTCTATTCAATAAATGGTGTTGGGAAAACTGGACAGATACATGCAAAAGAATGAAACTGGATCACTTTCTTACACCATATACAGGAATAAAATAAAAATGGATTAAAGACTGCCCTAGCAGGTTTGGCTCAGTGGCTAGAGCGTCGGCCTGTGGACTGAAAGGTCCCGGGTTCAATTCTGGTCAAGGGCACATGCCCAAGTTGCAGGCTCGATCCCCAGTAGGGGGCATGCAGGAGGCAGCCAATCAATGATTCTCATCATTGATGTTTCTATTCTCTCCCTCTCCCTTCCTCTCTGAAATCAATAAAAAAAATTTTAAATCGATTAAAGACTTAAATGTTAAGACCTGAAACCATAAAACTCCTAGAAGAAAACATAGGCAGTAAACTTTGACATCGCCCTAGTAATATTATATGTCTTCTTGTGCAAGGGAAACAAGAAAAATAAACAAATGTGACTACATCAAATTAAAAAGCTTCTGCACAGTGATGGATACTCTACTGAATGGGATAAGATAGTCACCAATGATACATCCAATAAGGGGTTAGTACCCAAAATATATAAGGAACTTATACAAAGTAACACATAACACACACACACACACACACACACACAAATAAACAATCCAATTGAAAAATGGGCAGAGGACCTCCACAGACATTTCTCCGAAGAGGACATACAGATGACCAATACACATGAAAAGATGCTCAACATCACTAATCATCAGATAAATGCAAATTAAAACCACAATGAGATCTAACCTCACATGCGTCACAATGGGTAACATCATAAACAAGTATTGGCAAGGATGTAGAACAGAAGGAACCCTTGTGGGATTGTAAATTGGTACAGCCACTATGCAAAAACATATGGAAAACTCAAAAAATTAAAAATAGAACTACCATATTACCCAGCAAGTTCACTTATGGGTATTTATCCAAAGAAATCTAAAACACTAATTTTAAAAGATATATGCATCCCTATGTTCACTGCAGCATTATTTACAATAGCAAAGATATGGAAGTAATCTAAGTGTCTGTCCATGGACAAATGGATAATGAAGACGTGGTACATATGTACAGTAGAATATTACTCAGCCAGGAAAAAGAGTGAAATTTTGCCATTTGTGACAACATGGATGGACCTGGGGGGTGGTATGTCAAGTGAAATGACAGAGAAAGACAAATACCATATGATTTCACTTACATGTGGAATCTAAAGAACAAAATAAATGAACAAACGAAACAGAAACTCATAGATACAGAGAACATTTTGATGACTAGCAGATGGGAGTGGGGTTGGGGGGATGAAAAAGGGGAAGGTTTAAAATGTGCAAATTTCCAATTATAAAATCAGTCACAGGTACCAATAATATTGTAATAATTATGTATGTTGTCAGTTGGGTACTAGACTTATCAGGGTGCTCACTTCCAAAGCTATATAAATGTCTAATCACTATGTTGAACACCTAAAACTAGTATAATATTGTATGTCATCTTTAATAGAAAAAATAAACACACACACACACACACACACACACACAGCCCGTACATAGCTAGTTATTTTCATTTAAGAAGCTTGGCTTCCCATTTTTAGTATAAGTACTTGTTAGCTGGGGACCCATTTGATTTCTAAAAGAATTCTTGGTTAATAAAAGAGGACTGGGCATTTTTAACATCCCGTCCCCACCCCCAGGGAATGAACAATTAATATTGAGAAAGAATCCCGGGTATCTACCCCAAACTAACCATAGGATTTTTATCTGTAATAAAAGGAAGACATGGTTTCTTCACAGGCTATCTATAATCATAAACGTTGTTTGAGTGTGTGTACATCTATGAATATAAAATGTTGTTCTTACCTCTTTTCCTCTCGGTATGCAGACGCTTTAGAGAGGATGAAGAGCGAAGAGCTGGCGGCGCCCATGGAAGAGACCTGTGGGCAGGAGGATGCGGCGGTGGCGCAAGGCGACTCTTTCCCCGGCCTGGCGCCGGCGCCTCCCGGCCGCCTGGGGGCGCCATATTCCGAGGCCTGGGGGTACTTCCACCTGGCCCCGGCGCGCCCCGGACAGCCGTCGGGCTACTGGGCCACCTGCCGGCTGTGCGGGGAGCAGGTGAGCCGAAGCCCGGGCTCCCGCGCGGGC